GGTTCGGTCTCCGGTGCTTTAGTTGGTTCAATCGAACTAACTAAAGCACCGGAGACCAAACCGAACCTAAAACGTTGGTTCGGTCACTTGGTTTAACCCGGGCCCTCGCCCAAAGCGCCCAGGTGACACCTCTTTGAAGCGTGTCTCCTGGAAATGAAGCGAGGCGCTCGCGCCTCACCTCGTGCTTATTGAAATCACTGGTCTAATGTGCAAGCCACATGTTGTCTTAGAGATTTATCTTTCTATGTTTCTTTTTTAGCTAGTGAGGAATTGTTTATACCATGTATCTTATCAACGTTATTCTTAGACCTTGCAAAGCATGAGAACTTTGAATATCTATGAAGGCACACTCAAAAGTGAGTTCAAGTGCTTTAATTTTTTAGGCAGTCTTTGCTGATTCCTTGTAAGCTCTGCTTGTGAACCCTTCCCATAAAACACAATGCTTGCTAATAATCATTTATATGGAAAAAATATTAGCATATAGTTTCTCTTCAATTCTTTTATTGCTGGACAAGTATAAAACTTTTTTTGTTGTGTTTTGATGTTCCTACTGTAAACTAATGCCTGCTTAAAGCTGGTACAAAGCTTGATCTTCCAGTTCTGATACCTCATTGATGGGAGCTTTAGTTTGCTCTTAACAGCAGAGATCTTCCAAAAATATAAGAATTTTGCTAATGCTTGGTGCTAATGATACTTGAGAACATTAACAATTCTTGTCCAGTCTTAAATGTAACTTTTTCTTATTAGTGGATATCCTGTGTCTATTGGATCTGTAAAATTGCATATCATAGTGTGTTAGCAGTGGTAAGATAAATTTTATTTACTTTCCAAGTCAACTTTGGAACAGTCAATTGTACCATGGACCAGCTATTGCACCCAACTCTGTTGTAAGTAAATGTGCTTCAACTTTTTCATGCAAATTATCCTTGGAACATGAATCTGTTTAGTTAGATGCTTTTCATTGATCTTCAGCAGTCTCTGATGGTGGCTTTTGCAAAATGGAACTAACTCATGATTTTCACAAATTTATGAGAAGTTATTGACGAGGAAATCCTTTTATGATGAAAGCTCTGAAGGAATATTACATTATTTGGCATCATTAAGTCATTGATAATAGTAACACAATCTTTCTCTTTATACAGAAGGTTCCTTTTAGAGATCGACAGTCAAGTTCAAGAATCCAGCGAGGAAACCGTAACTATGACCGTCGTGATCTCGTGGATAGAGAAGCAAATTGGGTCAGTTCAAAACCAAGAGATTTTGATCGCAGCCATGGGCGCAACCAAGCTGAGAGACCAAGTATGCGGCCTGACCGGCTGGCTGCACCGAAAAACCAAGAAGTGAGAAAATGGGAATCAAAAATGCATGAGCCTCTTGCCTCGTACCATGGTCACGGCGATTCTTTCTCATCTACAAATTCATCACATAACTTAGGCATGTATCCACAAACTGCTTTTAGTTCAGATGCCGTTAGTCCTTCTGACCCAACAGTTCCTCCTGTTGTGTTGATGTGCCCATATGACCAAGGAGCTGGTTATGGTTTACCAGCTGAACCACTTGAGTTTGGCTCTCTGAGGCCTGTGCATCTGTCTAGTGGCAATGGAGCACCTAGGGCGGGTGACAGAATCACAGAAGGTGGCCCATATGATCGAAGTTATAGTTCATTTCACAGAGGAGGTTCTCGGTCTTCTCCAGATCAACCTTCTTCACCATAACTGGATGTAGTGTTTATTTCAGTCTAGTTTTCCATTCCTTTCATTGTACATATTCTTGTAGTAGTTAATTTTTGGGGAAAAAAATGTAAAATGCAGTTTAGAAGCAAATAAGGATGCTCTCACTGATATGAAATTTAGCTTCACAGGTCCTGTTTGGATATTCACAACTTTCACAAGTTACATCTGGCAATGGTCATTCTTAAGTCACATTAATGGTAAAAGAAGTTTTGTTTTACCAAAGTTGGTTGTCAATTGACATTTTGCTGGTTGATTGACATATCAGTTTAACTGTAGCTCAACTAATAGTGTAACTGATGTACCAGCTTTCTTTCTGAAAAAAATTGCCCTATATAGATTGACATGCATTACTGAGTTTTTCCTATACATTTATGTGTTCTTTAGATGCACCAGGATTGTGATATACATGACTGGTTTCCTGCTTCTAGTGACATTGTCATGTGATTTGTTTCATTTATAGTTTTACAATTTAGCTTTAGATTTGTTATTGTATTGTGTTGATTAGGTTCTCATTTCAGGTGGATCAGTCTGCTGCAAATAATTATTATGGTGTTTTTAATTATTAGTGAATTTTTTTGCACATAAGCTCTTATATTTATAATTTATTGTGAAATGTTTCAAATTGTACTTGTTATTATTTGTGTTGATTAGGTACTGGTTCTCATTTGTGGTGTCTCAGTTTGCTGAAACTAGTGACTCTTGTTTTTTCAGAAAGATTCATTTCCATCATCATTTCTTTGCCTTTTTAGAATTTTTTTCTGCATATAAGTTCTTATATTACCTTTTTTGGTATGAAATATTTCTTGGTGGATTTATCATCTTGATTTGGTTCTCATTTGCATGGCAGGTCAGTTGCTATAAATAGCAGTCATATTGTTTCTTTGTCATCATTTCTTTGTTATTTCAAATGAGGTTTTCGTTTCACCGGTAAGCTGTTAATTATTGAATACTTGCGATGTATTTCTGTCACTTCTTGTACTTCAACTCCATTGACATGGGATTGTGTTTCTGATGTCTGCTGGATTTAATAGCAGAGAAATATCTGAAGATTAAAATGAACGGTACGATCGATTAAAATAATTAAAGGATTGGAGGCGATCACAAACAGCTCTCGATCGTGTCAGACGAGTCCTTGTAGTGGAATGCTGGTTTTGGTTTGTCAGAAACAAAAATTCTTGCAGTGCAATGGTGGATTGTATTATGTCAAACTATTCTGTAAGAAATTATTATGGTGGCCTGCAAAATATTATCGACAGGTTCTATGGAGTTTAGGGAACATGGTCTGTTCAAGGCGTAGTCTGGAGTGGATCTCTATCCAAGGCCTTGTAACATTGGTTTGATGTCCTTCATCTGTTTATATGCATAGTCTGCTTTCTACGAAAACTGGGTTTCGGAAACCTCAAGCTCACTCGTCTATATATATATATATATATATATATATATATATATATATATATATATATATATATATATATATATATAT